TTTTAAATAATTCATTTTGACTCGTAATAATTTTGTATACTTGTGTCGTGACATTTGATTATTGTAATTCTTTATTTATTTTAATTTCTAATAATTCATTCGACCGAGTATTTTAATTAATTTGTATGATTAAATTTAAATCCGTGAAATTCATACACAATTATGTATATTGATAATGAATAAATGATTGATTTGTATAAAGTGTGCACCACTGTTTATTCGGTAAGATGCAAAAAACGTGTTGTACTATGCGGTGTGAACTGGGGCTTACCTGATGGACTTCGTGACATCGTTGATATGGTCAACCAACGCAGCAGCAGCAAGGTGATACCTCTTGTTGGACGAGTGGATAGTCTGCCAAGTGTGGCACGTACACCAGCGGTTTTCTATTGCGGCTTCACTGCATGATCTGGTGCTAGGAATCTACAACAAAATTTTAATAAAGTTTAGGAAATGAAACTATTTTTTCGGATCTAAATTGCATACATCTGTTTTTTCAAACAAACCAACGTTTCGAGCCCTTTTCAAGTGGTCAAGGCTGATCGAGATGGTAAGTCATCAACCAGTTATGGCTAATATTAATGCAAGTCCTATTTTTCACTATTGTTACAAAAGTTATTAATTAAATACACTATTTTTTAATTTTTCGTACATTCATTCCAATTTACGCTACATACTTGTTTTTTTAATTTTATTTTATTTTATTTTTACAAATGGTCTTGTTTACATGGTCTTCCTTTTATTTAAGACGCTATGTTATTTAGAAGAAAACAATCCTTATAATTGAGGCTTTTGATCAGTATAGTAAATTATAGGTGTTTTTTTTCACATTTGGCGGGTTCGATTCCCGGTTCAGACAGGCGATTATTTAAAAAGCTTTGAATGCAGTTCGAATTATTTAAATTATTTATAAAAAAAAAATGTTTTAAAGTACTTGCCCTCCGTGTGGCATGACCGTGAGACGCCCTGTATAAAGCTCCACAACGCAACAAGAACATCTTTCTAAGCTTTCAAAGGCAATATTTATCAAAAACACACAAAAACTTACCGGCCTAAATAACGTCAAACCTCTAGGTAAATCAGCGCCCTTTACTTTGTAAGTAATCCAGTGATCTGTCATATCAACCGCGTCTAGAACAGTGTTGTAAATGTCGTAAGGCGTTGTCAGAATGTCTGCGTTTGCTTTTAATGCTGACTTTATTTCTGGCCGACTTTTTATTAGTTGTTCTGGTAATACTATTGCCATTAAGGGTAGACGTTCTTCCATTTTGCCCTGATAGGTGGCACGCACGTCCGTACGTCTGGGGAAGGAATTATTTTATTCAATTGCATATTGTTTACCTATGTAATGTGCTTTACGAATCACGTGTTGCTTTCTAAATTAGAGAAAAGTATTTATTACTAAGCTAGTTCGATCAACGTTTCTTTGTTTACAAATGTCACGACACGTTGACAGATCAAACTGGGCGAGATCACAGAGAGGATAATGTTGGTGTAGTTTCAGTTTGGTCAGTTTAATTAGTAATCTGACGTGATCCTGTGACATGATGATTGTATGGCAGGGTTGCCATATGAAAATAAGGAGTAAAGTTGGCAACACTAGTTAATGCTTAAAAAACGGATTCGCTCTGGGCCTTTTGGTGGGAAAAGTGTCGTTTTTATTTTGACTTTCAATTATTTTGTGAAATCTAGTTTAAAGTGGAATAGGATAGTGCTATTATGCCTTAATCGAAGATTAAAACGCGAAATTATACGAATCTCGAACTAAAATACCCGTATCGGCCCGTTCTAAGGAATCCCGAGTCAATCCAAGCACGCCGCCTCAAATTGCCTATCCTGTTTGTGGTGGCCATATTTACAGAAATATAATTAAACGTTTATGTTTTCGGCTGAAGGTCTTTGTTTCCATGGCCAGCAATAATTTAACAAAATATAACTTAAAAAAAACGAACGCGATTTGACAACACGGATTTTGTGTGCTAGATATTTGAAAATCGAATAATGGCGCTCTGTCTCTGTGAGTTTGCCGCGTGAATCTAAAAGTTCTAATCTGACTTATCTTTTGAACTTTCGAACTAATTACTATGAAAAATGGATAAACGAATTGAATGCAATGAAAAAACAAATTTGCGCCGCACCTATTGAAAACAACAGCTAATTGTGGGGAAATTATAAATAAAAAAACAACCTATCTACCTACCTCTATAGTCTTTCTTGAAGACGGAGTAAAATTATATTTTGTAGGGTTACCAGTTTTCATAAAATTTTAAATAGTCATGTAGTATCGACAGTTTTATCGATAGATTGTGAAAGAAGGTAAAATTTTGCCAAAAATGTCTCATTTGTGAATGTAACGTCGTTCTAATGATTACCAATTGCGTTATATATATAATACTTATGGAAACTAATCATACCTAACACCGTGATCGCCAAAGATCATCAGCAGCGTGTTCTGAAGCCGTCCAGTTTCTTTGAACCAACGCAGAAATTTGACGAAGTCCTTATCGGCAGATGCAAGCAGATTGAAGTCGTAGTGACACATGTCACCAACCTTCGTAAAGCAAAACTTCTTGCCATCTTGCGTGAAGAACTGCAAATTTATGTAATTTGATAGTTTTTAGTGCCAGCTTTACCTATTGTGCAGTCTTAGGAGTAGGACATGCAAACCGGCTACTCGGTTAACTGAAAAAACCGTGTAACCGTCCATTTTGGAACCCGATTGTCAGCTAAGGAAAACCCGGGTTTTTTGGTTTTGTCTTAAAGCTATACTCATATCATCGTATTAATAATGATAAATAAATGCTAACTAAATGGTAGGAACTTGGGTACCTGAATACAGTGATTGCATTTCGCAAGATTGGTGTAGGTGGCAGGTGCGCCTGCGCGAGCAGTATAGCAACAACTTTACGTAGTCGGTGGATTAAGCGAAGTATACGAATGTTTAGCAAATAAAAATTTGGTTTTAGCAAGAAATAAATTTAGAGACAAAGCTTTTTTTGATACACAGGCAATTTCAGAAATAAAAACGTGACCTGTTAATAAAATTAAGCAATATTCGTATGTCCGATTTTCAAGCCTAACACTAGTAACACTACATATAATCAGACTGAAAAAGAAATCGTTTAATTGCTTGTCTCTAAATATGCATTTTTATTTTAGAATATTAGTGTTGCGGATTTGTTTTTATTGTAATTCGAGAAATTGGTTGACCTCGTTGAAGTATAAGTCACGCTACAAATAACAAAAACATATATTAACACTAATTTGATGTTTTCTTTAGTTTTCTGACACTCTTAAAGAATTATTTGGGTGACAATAGAAAAATATACGAAAAAAACGAGTAACTAGGTAACCGAAAATTAAAAATCGAGAAAACCGGTTTTCAAAATCACTCGGCTTTTGCGTGCATACTTAGGAGGAGGGCCGAGTACCACGCAAGCGATGTAAGCGGACTATTACGTCCCACCACCATTTACAACTGCACCATTTACACCCGGATTTCAGATCACTGGGGAATATATAAGTGTAAGTATTTCATTTTGATCGCGTGCCTACTAGTGGGCGCTAGATGGGCTATCAGTTTTTATCACATTTTGTCGTCTTTGTAAAATGCAAGCCTAAAAAATTCGATTGTATCATATTGAATTTTTATTTGCTACACCGTATTGGTATCTTTTGTATTTTGAAATTATTTATTTTATGTCAAAAACATTATGGCTGTATGCGTTTTTGTATCTATGGAAGAATAGGTGACCATCAATTTATATATTAACTACCTCCGTGGCCGAACGGTTACCATGCCGGACTGCCACGCAGAGATCCCAGGTTCGATTCCCGGGCCGAGAGAAATATTTGTATGACCTACATTTATTTCTCTCGTGAGTTTGGGTGTAATTTGTGGTTGTCTATGTATGTGTCCATGGCACCCGCGACACAGGGTTTCCCTAGTGCGGGGCTATGTTGAGTGTGTGCGTTATTATTATTATTATTATATATATATAAAAAAAAAGACCCGCCAATTGCAAAGTCCATAATTGTCGTGCTGTGAAGCGATATTTAATTCATACAAGAAATAAATTATCATTGTATTTATTTTCTCGCAAATGTATTGAAAAACATTGTATGTACGAGCGGTAAAAAATTACAAACTTCGAGTCATTAAAATTCTTACAGACTCTCGTTGGTAATTTCTTAATTAACGCCCTTAATACGCAATGTACTAATTGCCATCACTGATATCGCGTAAGTTACTTTTTTTACGATACAAATGACGGGGACGAACAAGTCGTGCGCCTGATGTTAAGCGACACGCCTGTCCATAACAGTTGCATTGACACTCAGAATTTTAAATAGCAAAGATCTGAGGGTCTCTGCCACTGCGCCTGTCACCCTGAGACATAAGTTGTTAAGTCCCATCAGCCTGTAATTACGCCAGCACCCTTACCCTTCAAAGCCTACTACTAAACGTGTGAGACACGTACGTTTCTTTTGGCGTCACCACAGTCGGTTAAAAATACTATAACTTACCTGTTGAGTAATATTCATCAAAAACGTATACGACGGGGTGTCCCCAACGCAGAATTCGTTTTGTTTGTCAGTACTTAGTTTGGACAGCTCAAAGTAGAAGTCGCGTAGGTAGTGGTCGGCAGGCTGTTCAGCGAACCCTTGGAACCGAAGTTGAAACGTACCCATGTTTGGCGAATCTTCATAATAAGCGGTACGGTAACTGTGACACAAGAAAAGATGATCTTTATCCGTAAGAAAACCATTATATAACATTTCAAATCAATAGCGATAATGCTTAATTTAAACAATTTATATTTATGTAGTAATCTGTAGAATGTTGTGATTAATTATACAATTTACTGTACTGTTATTCTTACTATATGTTACTCACCTTATACAATATTGTTTGTCATCCCTTAATAAAAAAAATAGACATATCTACAGAGACACAAATACTTCAGGCGTTTAATTCCCGTCTTTTTGCGTCTGGGGTTAACAAAATAAAACAAAAAGCAAACAACACAGGACCGGTCCCATATCTTCTCGTAAGTTTTTGATTATAGTGTCCCTTTCGACTTAACCTCGATCAGCCCGTTGACACAGACTTCATTCGACTCTCAAAAGGCTAGACTAGGCTAGGCTAGGCTGTTTTGAGTGAGCGACACAGGTGCACGTACAGCGGATGCTGTACGTACACCTAGACAATAATGAGGATCCATTATTATCCAGATAGGTACCGGAGCTGTTGGCTCGCTCACCTCCCATTGTGCATTACATATCTAGCGGTTGCCACCGATAAACCGTGGCAGCTACAGGAACACTAAATATACCGTAGGTTTGTTTAACAGAATATTCGCGATCATGGAAAAATAAAGAAAATACTTTTCTCCCGAATTTTTAATATTTTTTGCGATCATTGGTTGTGGTGATTCCTTTTTGTTACACATATATAAATTATATTAACGCACCCATCTTTTCTGAGTTTGTGGAAAATGAAGTCGCTGTTATTTAAGAACGTTTTGACAAAGCGCTTTCGGGCCTCGGGCAAATCCAGTTCATTCCTGCCAGTCAATAAAGCGTGTAGTGCCCAAGTAGTCCCATCTCCTATGATGTTGTAACTAAAAAACAAATTATAGTTCTGATACCTAGCTGGAATTAGGTAGAAGGATTAGATAGATGACAACTTAATTAAATAAATATAACGCACACACACTCAACATAGCGCCGCACTAGGGAAACCCTATGTCATGGACACACACATAGACAACCACAAGTTACACCCAAACTCACGAGAGAAATAAATGTAGGCCATACAAATATTTCTCCCGGCCCAGGAATCGAACCTGGGACCTCAACGTGGCAGTCCGGCATGGTAACCATTCGGCTTCGAGCAGTTAAAAAACTGTTCGAAGAAAGTTTCAGACGAACGTGGATGACAAATTAGTTAGACCAAGTCAAAAGGAAATTGAGTAAGCTCTAAGAGAAAAAATGCAAAGTGCTGAATGACATTACCTACATGGACAAGTGTCCAACTCAAAACAAACATAATAATAAAAAATATCCATTTTGAACTCCAAGGTAACTCAACACATTGCTGATAACAGCGTGATGTCTGGTGCTCATAATGGATGTAGGGGCGGTAGCAGCGGGTAGGTGGTAGTAAGGACGCGGCTTGGCCGACGCAACAGTCGGAATTTCTCCGCTGCCTGGATAGCCTACTACAATCTGTCTTTTTTGAAAACGGAGTAAAATGACATTTGTAGGGTTGCCAATTTTCATAAAGTTTTAAATAGTTATGTAGTTGTTGTCGATAGTTCTATCGATAGATTGTGAAAGTCAATAACGCAAGTTATTGCCTTCTTTATTCTTATTTTGACAGTTGGTCTACTAGTATCGAGATCAGTTTTTATTCTTATAGGTATATTTTAACAAGAATAGCCGGATTATAGCTAAATACAGTGTATGTATGCATGAACTTACAAAAAATTACAATTCAAATGAACTTGTACCCACTAATTGGATGAACAATGGGTCTAGGATGATTCAAAGAAACAAGTTCGGCTATTAATTCCATAAACGAGACCAATATTCAGTCGATAGTCGATCAAGTCGAGCTGCTGCTCTCAAGCGGGCAACATATCCTAAATATATATATTAAAGGATGATACCACAGATATGTGGTCGTCCCGGAGATTCATTTAGGCTCATTGTTTCAGTTGTATCGCTCTTTCTAACACTGAGTACTTGTATACACACAAACAAGCAAACAAGACTTTTTTTATATAAAAAAAAGTGTTAAGTGCGCATTTGACCTCCATCGCCTGATGGAAAGTGACGATGAGCTCGAGGATGTAGCGTGCACACCTAAATAACGCTTATTCACCCTCGCCTTGAAAAAGTCCAAGTTATAGCGTTTGGGGAATGAGTTTGCAAGCAGGGTATTCCACTCCCTAGTCGCTCGCCATATAAATGTTGAAGAGAAACGCGTCGTGCGAATCCTGGGAATATCTACAACATAGGAGTGGAACCCCAGCCCACGTCTCTGCAAATTATGCAATTCCATCGCACGCTCTCCGTGATATATCCTGTAGAATACCGATAAGCAGGCAACTTTTCGGCGGTGTTCAAGACTGCAGCTTCGCCTCTACTAATTCCGAGTCACCTATAAGCCTCTTGGCACGCTTGTCTATTGAATCCAAGGTGGCCAGTTGGTACTGTAATGACTTCTACCACTTGTATCCTTATGTACGCTTACGGAGCCTCCACCATTTTGTAATGAGGGGTAACTCAGATTGCGTTGCGAGAGGTACTTCTAATAATATAAACCGGGATCATCTTAAGAACTTTGGTTTATTTCACCATTTTACATACTTTCACTTTTAGGTTACAAATCAATAATCCTAATGTCAAGATGCTCCATTCTTTTCTCTTAGTTCATTTTCAAAGCATTCTAATTATGAATCTATTCACTCAGCCAGTGATTCTACTCATAGAGTAGAGCCTAGACTACAGTACTTAGCAGAGCCATCCCATAAGTAGCAGCAGTAGGTACTCCGTACATGACCGGATTTGTGCTTGGTACAACTATCTCGGTGTGAAGTAACGACTTACCTTGGAAAGGATGCCAAGCTTCCTGGCTGCATTTTTGGCCATGGATTCAATGTATCTACTAAAATTCAGATTGAATGACAGGTCCATTCCAAGAAGGTGAAGACGGTCGGCTGTTGGTAGGGATATATCACGAAAAGTCGGAGTCTAGTTTTGGTAGCTAATGCTACCAATACCTATTTGACAAGATAGGCCCCAATCGAAGACTGCCTTAAATGTCAAATTCAAATGACTAACCATTGACTCTCGATTTGACTGAATTTCTTCTCCACTGACAAGGGTAAGTTTGCATTGGTCGATTACCTGTCCACAACTGTAGTGTCATCAGCATGCCCAAGGGCACTTGGAATTAACATATCATTTATATGCATCAGAAAGAGGGTTGCGGACAATCGCCCGATATTCGGAAAAGTAGCCTTCTAAGACCACTCGAATCGAACGTTCATTCAAGAAATCCGAAATCCAATTGCAAAGGTCAGTGAGAAGTCCTTATGAGGGAAAGTTGCTTAAAAGGCTTGCGTGCCAGACCCTGTTAAAGGCCTTAGAAATGCCCAATAACGTATTTGGATTTTGGTAACTTTCGAGAATTTTCTTAGTGTTTCGATCTTTGTTATAATTATTATAACAAACTAGTGGAGTAATTTCGTAAAAAAAATTGAATATCATGGTAATGAAACATCGTGACATCAATCGACTAAAAAAATAATTTTCGAGATATTGGCACTTAAAATTTTTTTTATATGAAACTATCAGCTACGCTGTTTTGCTTAATGAAACTGAAACTAAATAAGATATAAAAAACCACTTCTATGAGGTTGCAGACCTTGTTTCGCAAGTTTTCTCAATTTCGTTAAAAATGTCGATTACGTTAGTTACGAAAAACTGCCAGTATTGTTCCCTTGTTTGTTTCAATACCTACCCAGTCAAAAAAGTGGCTTCTAAATCATTCTTCAAATACTCATAACTCTCGGGCATCTTCCTGATAAAACCATTTCGGGACGTAGAATCGTAACCGAACATCAGCACATTGATGGTGTTTTCTCGGCCAGGTGGAGAACCCAAAGACTTTACCTTCGACCGCAAACCGGAGACCACCCCTATCCACTTCAATAGGCGGTCACTGAAAGACATATACAGTGTAATATACTCGTACAATGCGTGCAGAATTTTAGATGTTTCCTGAGACTTGTCTGTGAAAAAACTAAAAATAATGTAAATATAAAGAAAGAAAATATATTCATTTGACTATCTAATAAAAGGAAAAAAAAATACAAAACAAAAAATAGAACGTAAAACAAAAATAAAATTAAATTAATGCACTGATTATTCACATAAAAGGACAATAATGTCCACTTGCACTAAACTTAAATACGTCTTAAACCAATGCTTAAATTGATGACACAATCTCAACACGATGTAGGAAGTGTCTTTTGCAATGCAAGCAAGTGCAAGTGGACATATCGCAATGCATTCCCAGCTCTAATATTCAAATAGGCAACAACAACAACAATAAAGAAAATACATTTATTTGATAACCACAAAAGAAAACAAAAATGAAAGAAAACTGAAGAAAAACAAAACAATCATAACATTAATAACGTAAAACAAACAAAACAAAAAGTATAAATTAATTAAAACCCAAACTCTAATGGTGATGCCAGCCGCGGTAATGAATGGTCACTAACTTAGTATTTTTCTGGAAAACGCAATGCATTCCCAGTACTAATTTTCTGTTAGGACCATTAGCGAAGCAATTAAATTATTACACAATAAAATACAATAGATATGTGTGTGAAATAAATCGATTCTGATTTATATTAGTTTTTAACCGACTTCAAGGTTCTCAATTCGAATGTATTTTTTGTGTGTATGGTACCTCATGGTGGAATACCTCAGTCGCGGTCCCATTCAAATTTGAAAAAATATTTCACTACTAGGGGTGGCAAATTAGGAACAAATCAGGTTTACCATAAACTTGGCAAATAGATGTAATACGAATAAAAAAGCGTATAAGCAAACTTTTGAGGTCAGTTTTTTTAAATTATTTATGTTACATTTCTTTATGTACAATACACTCGGCACTCGCGGCTATATTAACTCAAGCGCACACTACACAAACTTGACGCGGTTTTTACTCTTGCTCAATATTGAGCAAAATCCGCACAAAGCTGTAATCTATTTGGCTTACTGTAGTATACACAAGCGGTGGATTATTATTCGTTGGGCACCGCAAGTTTTTGTGTATTTCAGACTAATTTCTTGTTGTTTCTCTTGTTCTCACTATTAATTTTAATTCCTGTTTGTATCTGCTTTAATCCGTTTATATTGTTATGCGTTTGAAGCAAGGCAATAAGGTTCTTTCTATTTATCTATCATTCCTTTGACAGATGAACCAATGTCGTGTTGTCTGGGCTTGTGTTCATCTTAAAAAAATATAATTTACTCTATATTATTATTATTTTATGATACCAAGTGTTGGCACTAACAAATCGTGCGCCTGATGGTAAGCGACACGCCTGTGTTGTAGAAAGAGGTGCGGTGTCTCCTTCGCAACTTATCGCTCGAATATGTCGCGCTCTTTCGCACGAACGCCGCGAGGCAGTGCGACCGCTCAGGTACATCGCCGCATATTTTGTCGCAAATCGTGACAAATCGCCGCCGCAACGCTGCTTGTCGTACGCAATTCAAGTGACGTCGCGGGTCGCTGAATAATTTTATTTAATGCGGCCACCCTCATCACTTGTAGAACATTTGAAATTTCTTTACGATATGAACAAATAAATTTCGCTTGTCGCAGTGCGACCATCGACATATGTTTATATGAGTTTGTTTTCACGAAATCGCCGTCGCGTCGCAGTCACCTTGGTAGTGCGGCCGAGGCCTTAGACATAAGTTGATAAGTGTCATGTGCCTGTATTGCTCACATTAACGCACACGCACACACTATACATTGTCCCGCACTAGGGAAACCCTGTGTCGCAGGTGCTATAAACACACACATAGACAGCCACAAATTACGCCCACAGTAACGATAAAAATAAATGTAGACCATACAAATATTTCTACCGCCCCGGGAATCGGACCATCCGGCATGGTAACCGTTCGGCCACTGTGGCAGTTGTTTCTGCTTTGCGGCAGAAATAGGTAAGGTGACAGTACTTCCCTGGACGAACTCTTTGACAAGGAGCTCTACTGGAACATTATTATGACTATATAATGTTGTTTTACAGAATTTTCTGAAAACAACTTAACAATTATTATTAATCATCTCAAACATTTATTAAGCACGTTCTTTTAGACGATTAGCTTTTTATATTTGATATGTTCCTCTTTTGATATTGAACCGATATTATGAAATTAATCATGTGGAGGAAAATGATAAAAAAAGGAGGCAAATAACTAGGAGCCACTTGATAGGAGGTAGTCATCGTCGCCCATAGACATCTGCAATACTAGGTGAGCTGCCTATGCGTTGCCAGCCTTTGAGAGCCCTGTTGACACGCTTTTTGAAGAACTCCATATCTTAGCGCAAAGGAAAATACTTCAGAAGAAAAATCACAGGCATCTTACAATTACAGGCATCTATGATGTAAGGATGGGCTCTACTTCTTTAGCGGCAGGTGCGATGATGGATTCGAGACGGTGGCCTCAGTTCGAAAAGTTCCTCTGAACACCCCCCATTATAAAAAAGGTAGAACACACACAGAGAGTGTGTGAGTCCAAACCGCCTGTGAGTGTGGGATCATTATACGTGAAATTAAATCAAACATTTAAATGCAGTGTCCGATTTAAGCAACATTAATTAAATTTTTATTGAATTGATATTCAATTATTTACTCATAGATGGCGCTACGACTAAAAAGTCGTTGAAAAACCAAGTACAAAGACACGACGCAAGCACATAGAAAAATTCGTGAGGTCCGTTGGTTCGTTCCGTGGCTTAGTTGGTATAGCGTCTGGCACGGTATGCAAGAAGACGTCGGTTCGAATCCGAATTTTTTAAAGGAATTTTTTCTGAGTGTTTTTTCTGAGTGTTCGATCTTTGTATTAATAATTATAACAAACTAGTGGAGTAATTTCACAAAAAATAATTGAATATCAATTCAATAAAAATTTAATTAATACAGTGAATAGCGACATCTCTCGCCAGGACTGGTAGCTGTAAAGGTACTAACTGGGTGATAAATCTGTCAAAGATTTCTCATAGATGGCACTACGACTAAAAAGTCGTTGAAAAACCAAATACAAAGACACGACGCAAGCACATAGAAAAATTCGTGAGATCCGTTGGTTCGTTCCGTGGCTTAGTTGGTATAGCGTCTGGCACAGTATGCAAGAAGACGTCGGTTCGAATCCGACCGGATCGAAGGAATTTTTTCTGAGTGTTTTTTCTGAGTGTTCGATCTTTGTATTAATAATTACAACATAACATTGTCAACAATGAGAGAACTGCATTTCAAATCCATATTTTCAATAGGTCCTAGAAAGGTAGCTTATGAGCATTCATCTTCAAAATTTAGGGCGTCACTGTACACAGGAACAGTATATAAAAAAGAGAAAAAGAGTGAATTTGTGTTTGTGATTTCATCTTTCTCACTAACTGTATACTTACTTGGCCAAAGCTCTACCAGTGCACCTAACTTTCACATTATCTGAATTTTTAAGTGTGAAGACTTCATCGCCAGTGATCATTGTGGATATTGAGTCAACGTAGTAGTCACGATCGGTCTTGTGAATGATATTGTAAAAGTGACATTTTATATCCCTAGCTGAACTCAATATACTCGGGACTACCGCGCATTCACTGAGCTGAAAAAATAATATATTTTTTAATACAGTTGCTCAAAACGTGGTATTTTTCGTACTACAAATCGTGCCGAAAGTTGGAATTTTCGCACTAGTGCTTTTTACATTTCCATATTTTTTTTTTAATTTACTGTTGTTTCAAATCTTAAGCACAGAACTAAAGAAGTTGTATATTTATGTGCTTTGTGACGTAAGTCATTCGTCATTAAAACTTATATTTATTTACAATTACTATATAATGAACGTATCGAGTGGAGGTCCACAGTCTCTGCCTACCCCTGAATGGGTGATAGGCGAGATTTTTATGTATATATTTGTTCTATGTATTACAGATAAATTGTATCTCACTACCGTGCACGGGTTCCTAAAGAAGTTTAAACAAAAGTACCAGGACTTCATAATAAGAAAAGTGGTTACAGACCGATATTACAGAAAATAAACAAAAACAGCACGTTAGAACAAGATTTCCATAGACTTTTAAATAATGGTTGCAGTGGTTGTATTTCATTATTTTAATTTACTAGCAGAAAATGAGTTTTTTTTAAATACTGTTTTATTTTACTTTCAATGTAGTTTTTTCGCAAATGTATAAAAAACGTCGTTTGATACACGTGCGGATTTGTCATTTTCACAGCCAGGAGACTCGTGAATAATGACTAACTTTCCGCACTTGTATCAAAAATAACTAATTTGTTTTAGTAACAGTAGAGATTCTTTAGAGATTCCTGTGAACGAGTTCGTCCGAGGAAGTACTACCACCATATCTATTAGCATATAACATTAACTGCGTTTTGGATTTGAAGGGACTTGTCAACTTTATATCTCAGTGGCACTTCTACTGTTATGGGTAGACATGTCACTTACCCGATGCACGACTTATTCGTCCCATTCATTAATAGCATTAAAGAATACAAACATTTTCGAGGCTGCGATATAGAATTACTTGGTTAAGAGGTAAAAGTTGATTAAAAGGCCGTGGTAGGCAAATGGTTTGACTTACAGCCTCTCAAGCAGAGGTCATGGGTTCGAATCAGGACTCGCGACTGGACTGAACTCAGGACTGAGTTTCTAGGAATTTATGTGCGAAATCCAATTTGAAATTTACGATGAGCATTTCTGGGACGTCGAAAAAGATTACATGTTTCGGAAACCGTGTGAAATCCCCAACCTGCATTAGGCCAGTGTGGCTGACTGTGGCTTAAAGCCTCGCCCGTGTGAAGACCCGTGCCCAGCAGTGGCATTAATAAAAGGTGATGGTTAAGACTCAGATTATGTCACTTCTTCTGCCCCGAATTGCTCCAGTCCAGCCAACCAGATAAGACAATCCTGAGACATAAAATCCAATCAAGTCCCATGGACCTGTAGTTGCGCCAGCTCCAGTGGCAGTACCTTCTTGGACGAACCCTTTTACAGCTACTGTATTTTAAGCAACGTGAGTCACAAATATTGAGAAACCGATTCTTAAAGATTTGAGATCTGATATGATTCTCCTTAGCTATTGACAAAAGCTATGTACGTTATATTGTAGACCAGTCTTGGCGAAATTTAAACAGTGCAGGCTTGGGCCACGTAAAATTTATTAAAGTAAGGGATAAAAGGGTAATAGGAAGACCCAAAAGGGCCTGTATTCGTATATATATCCAATGCTTTATAAGCAGTTAAAATACGTGAGGTTTACATGATTGAGTATTTGAGGTTTATGGTGCACACGTCCTTTCTTTTCGAGAATTTTGATGGGAACGATGACGGAAGGAACCATAGTAAGAATAACGAAGAAAAGAAACTACAGAATGATTCAAAATTTAAAAAGTAACTGGCCGGGAACCATAAATAAGAGTGATAAAAAGGTGGGATGACGATGAAGGAGATCGCATCGTCGGAATATAAATACATGAACCAGTAATCTTAAGTGGCAGTGTGCCGCACATGACTGTAGGAGGGCTGATGTTCGATGGAGCAGACTTGTTCTAGAGTGCAACTACGTCAAGACAAATGACCACGACAAGGACGACGTGAGAAAGGTGGCCGGCACAGATTCGGCTGGATTCAGATGGCACAGGGCTGGGAGCGTTGACCTGCTCAGGGGGAGGTTTAAAGCCCGCAAAGGAAAAGTTTAACCTCCTCCGAGAATAGGGTTTAAGGGTATCACGCCACACATGTGGATTTAAAAATTAAATAAAGACTAAATCAAAAATCATGAAAAAACTTACGTGACATTTGACCCAATCCAGGTCATTGCATACAATTTGGGGTAGATTCTTATTAAACACCATGATCTCAGGCGAAAAGGGATCCAGCTTTGGAATATAGCATCCTGTGCGTTTGTCTTTCTTCAGAGATTCTTCCAAAGCACGTTGTCTTTCCCTGTTAGTATCAATATGACAATAAGTTTAAAATAAAATAAAGATTTAAACAGCGAAGATCGAAGTAAGTTAACTTACAGCGATGCCACTCGGGCGCTATGATTTCAACGCACCAAGTGCCACACGAGCGTGACAACGTGTGGCAACGTAACACCGCTTACTTACGCACCGTATCACCCCGCCTCGCTTGAGGGTATAGCATGAAAGAACATTCAACACAAACGTAGATATTTTGCACGATCTAAGCTTCACTGGGCTCGCAGTGTTGGTGCAATCTTTAACATATGGATTTAAATCCATTACAACTTACTACCATTTTAATATACATATGGATTTCAGCCAAAATCTATAAATTATTAGCCGTGTCACAATAATCAAAATTTGTAAAAAATTTATAAAATTGTGTGAAAAAAATCTGAATCGTTAGGGACGTAATACGGGCGTCTTATATAATACGTAACGTAACGTCAATACGTAAGTCTTTTTAGAACATTTAAGTTAAAAAAATCTATTTTTAGAAATTTTAAATATAAATTGTTTTCGAACAAAACTATTCCCCAAAAGAATGCAGAACCTTTTGTTTTTAATTTCGCTTGTATTCTTTGTGACTTGTTGTATTTTTCCTGTACAATAAACTATTAAATAAATAAAAAAATAGAATATAATTATAAAAAAATAAAACTTACTTTATAATCTCACTGAAACAAAAAAAAATGTTATTAAAAGACACGTTAAAAAATTAATTGCAACAACCAATATTAGAAGCAACTTGACATGGCTTCAAATACCGGAAATAATAAATTAAATATTGGACATTAAACTATTTCTCCGAATCAAAGAGATATTTCCTTTTAAATACTTAGGGAATATGCTAAATTTTGGTTTTGAATATGTTTTTAAATTCACATTTATTCCAAAATTTGCAAATTGCTGAGCGGTAACGACACGCCCCGTCAGTCGCTATCGGGCACTTGTCGGCGTTGGCTCTGTGTCAAATTATCTCCGCCTGTCATTGACTTACAATTATATGGACGTCGGGTCCGCGCTAAAAAGTGTCCGAACTTATAGGGCGTTAAAATCGTGTACAGAGCGTTATTCACGCTTTAGTCTTCGTTTGTTTGACTGACAGCGAAGCAAGCAAAATTAGACAGTACTGCGATTACATAACAATTTAAAAAGCTTTTTCATATTCCTTTACATGTCACTACGTTTAAATAGGTTGACTTGGGACATTTTTTTCGTGGTTTTTGTATTAGACCCGTCGTCCATTTATTTGTAAGTCAATGCCGCCTGTTCTTATTTTACTCATATTCATTTTCAGCGCACGGATCGCGGGACACGGGTGTTTCGCATTAAAATACCTCGCCTTAAACATAAAAGTTATCGACTAATTTCGTCGTAGAACTTTTAAACGCCTCTTCTCCTGAAAAGGTGTCACTTTGCACATGTGGCCTTATTACACCTTGTGTTTTCATAACTTTTGTGACAAACTTTGACTTGAAAAAATAAAACAAAATAATACAGGCAGCTGTTTAGTTCTTTTTTGAATTTTGAAAATGTTTCTGTTCTATTTTTGTAGGTTTTTAAATTCATTTCTATTAAGTTATTTTCTCGTGATGGAGGGAACAAAACAGTTTCGTGCGACTGTAATTTCGCTACACGTGGAAAGAAACAATCCAATGGAGATTTCCATGACTTGATAATGTTTTGAGGTAAGCCGCAACTTTCTATATTACACCATAAAATGTTTCAAGGTGACTGATTCTCTGATAGATCTTCAAAGGAGTGGTCGCCCGCGGTCTGTAAGGACGACTGCGAACATCAAAACAATCAGAGAAGGAGGGAAGATGGTTTCTCGGTATCCAGTTTGGGTTCCAGTATATTCTCTGATGAAAAATCCCAAACAGACATAAGACTGTAGTACTAATTAATATGTTTTAATTTATTCTAATTTCCATTATTAATTAATAATAAATTTAACTTAATAAAAATTCATTCGATAAAATATAATAATTTGTAAAATAATGTAGCGTAAATTGGAATGTTTCTTTGCAAAATTAAAAATAAGGTATTTAATTATTACTTTTATTACTATAGTGAAAAAATAGGGTGGTTTGCATTAATATTAGACATAACTGGTTGATGACTGTACCACCTCAGTCAACCGTGGCAATGGAACCTGTGAAGGGCTCGAAACGTTGGTTTGTTTAAAAAATTTCCTATATAACTTAATTCTTAAAATTTTTAACTACTAACTTTTAGTAACTTTTACTTCGTCTCAAAACTTATGAACACCCGAAGTACTAAATATTTTAAGGCAGAAGAAAAGGAAAACGCGATGAATTATTTTTGTCATGGAATAGACAAACAACTTGTTGTTTACGATTTTAATAATAATAGTCCTGCGAGATAGTTAGAATTTTACTAACAACCCTGTGTTTATTGTTTGGGAGTACAATGTCTCCGACATATTAACGGACATACAGACATGGCGTAATAATTGAGTTTCCCACGGTATAACGGAACCCTATTCAATACCTTCTTGAAGAATATTTGTAGTCGTTTGATTTGACATTCAAAAATACATTGAAGTAGTACGACACCAACACGAGTAGTCCGATACCTAACAGCGGTAATAGCAGCGCCATCTGAAAAAAAGCAACTTATTTAATAAAATGCACCGTTCATTCAAGACTCGAAAGAAGTGTATACACTTCTTACTTGAATAGAATGAAAATTCAAGCTCTCATTCCTTTATGTCTGTACTTGCAATTACGTTTTTCGTAAATTTTCACTTACTTATTTTATTATATTTGTAATCAGCTTACAAAGACCAGTAAATACATACCTTATAAACTAACTTACATACTAATATAATAACACTATTTATTTATTTACACGTATGGACCGCGACGTGTGACGCAACGTGGGTGTCCGGTATCCGTCCTTGGGAACGTCGGTACATGACACCCTTCGGCAATAATCTTCCTTCATGAAGGTCGACAAATGTTGAGTTGGTGCTCTCACCACAAATGAATTAAAATTCACATTGTGGGACTCCAACTGCTCGACCTTCCGGGCAGCATTATCTTTCACCCGAATGTACTCCACAATGGAGTAATGAAATCGTGACACGTACAGCAACGTCTTCGGTCCCTCTGGACGCAATCGATGATTGGGGCCTGAGAGCGTTGTGGTATAATAAATGATGTAGTGACCAGGATAAAGAAGGACATGTTTCGATGGTTAAGTCATGTAGAAAGAATGAAAGTTGGTAGATTGACGGCACTTTATAGAGCGAATGTGGAGTAGGGGGAGGTATCCTTTGTAGGCTATACAATACTGAAGAGCTGACAATCTTTTTGGATATTTTTATTTCTTGGCCGAATCAGGCCGTATTTAGGCTCAAACACCAACGTACATATCGCAATCAGATTGGGGATCTCCATAAAAAATGCCACGTTAAAAGCATCAGGAATAAACGGGCATATATGAAGGGATTGATAGGAGTGGAGGAGGTCCAAGATCCCCGGTGCCTACCCCGGTGAAAGATAGGTAGATGGCAGCTGGAAGAACCGAAAAAACCAAGAGCTGGAGGACATAGTATCATCAGAATTTTTTTTAATAATAATAATAATAACGCACACACTCAACATAGGCCGCGCATTAGGGAAACCCAGTGTCGCGGGTGCCATGGATACACATATAAACAATCACAAATTACATCCAACTCACGAGAGAAATAAATATAGACCATGCAAATATTTCTCCCGGCCCGGGAATCGAACCTGGAACCTCTGCATGGCAGTCTGGCGTGGTAACCATTCGGCCACAGAGGCAGTAAAAAGTCAAGTCTTGAAAACTCTGTTGGCTGGGATACCTCGAAAGGATGCCAGCTCATAGGGCGGTGAAAAGGTCTACACGAGACGCCCTGGTGGAAAAAGACCTCCGCATCCTACACGCAGATAACAAGGAGGAGATCGCACTAGATAGGGCTTGCTGACGCCTACTCGACGCACTTGGAGTCGCTAAGCCAGCATAGTAAATAAGTGGTTGCGCCGAAATTGATATTTTTCATGTTCAAAAATTGAGAATTCACCTCACAAAATTTAGACTCTATAATTTTTGGATCGTAGCATCAATGGTTTGATTGGATCAACATTTACTTCCGTATTCCATCCCTTTCCCACACATACCTAACTAGCACACGAGAGCCAGACAACGTCACCCAACTGGTGAAACCTACCAGAGGAAAAAGAAAACATTCGCTTCCGCCTAATTGTTCATTCGCTTCCGCCTAATTGTTCTTTCTCCGATGAATGCAACAATGGCCTATAGTGAACATACGTTTTGGTGAAGTTGTAACATCAAAAATCGCTCCCCGGGCGGGGCAAGGAATCGGGATCGATCAAATCGCCGGCACGCGGTTGGTTTCAAGAGGTAGTGTGCTCCCAGCTTACCTACTCTTATTTGTTCCAATCAATATGACTTTGGGCATATTGCTCGCCGACAACCAGATAACCTTAACAAACTGGTTATGGTGGGTACGGTAGAGGGAAAGAGACTCAGCAGTCGTTCACCGAGCGGATGGAGTGACCAAGTGACCGCCGTCACTGGCCTCCCTATAACAACTGCCCTGCGAGAGCCGAAGACAAAACCAGATGGAAGAAAATCGTCCATAAAGTCTCGACAACCATTCGGGGACACCACCTTCATCAAGGAAGATAACGACTAAGAAGAAGATAACCATACTGATTTAAACATATACAGTCCACTTTATTATGAAAACTAACACGGTTATCACACATTATAATATAAAAGTAACGGGACTTACTCGCGTAGTATTTTAATCGGAAGCGGCCCGACTACTTTCGACCATAATCGATGGTCTTCTTCAAGGGTTGAGTGCAACGTTCGCGACCATATTTGAATAGAGACGGAGGCTGGAGCTTGCCATCGACCTGGAAGCCCTGTCTTCATGGCGCTCGGTAGAAATAGAAATAGAAATTATTTATTCAATATAAAGCACAGCACACATACAATTTACAAACAAAACAAAAACATAAAAAATAGAAGAAAGAAAGATAAGGGAGACAGGATGTGTGCTGTGCGGTATGCAGCTGCAGATGTTAGCGGTAACGATGTGGTGAGCTCTGTGTGCTGGACTGTTCCCGACAACAACCCTACGGACAGCAGTAGCGAAGAAGAGTTCCTAGACGCAACGTATCAGCCTCCCGAGTTCCCCACTGCGGACCGCGTCATCGGCGCGCGCGCAGTGCTAGACGTGACGCGGTTCTTCAGGGGTTGAGTGCAACGTGCGGCGAATGCACAACCTGAAGAAGACCATCAATTATGGTCGAAACTAGTCGGACCACTTCCGACTAAAGTACTACGCGAGTAAGTCCCGTTACTTTTATATTATAATATACAGTCCACAAATCGAAGGAAGGCATCGTTTGCATTCCCCGCATGGTTGACCGGTTTGGGCTACCCGCAACCAAATAGCGCCACCAGTAAGTGAAGTTTTTGTCTATATTTTAGTCTATAATATATTACTAAGTAAGCATTCAAATGAACCGTCACTACGAAAATAAAAATTAATCACCAGCAACTACAAAAATGTTACTTACTCTGTTACACAATTATACGGTAGAGTACACTTCCAGTGATAAGTGAAGTGAAGAAGGAACACTGCCTAATTTCTTTTTTATAGCACTTACAATTGGACTAACAAAGGCACATTATATCAGTTTTAAAATATTTTTAAAATCAATTGCATTGTCTCAGAGTCCTGTTATCTATGAATGACGTTCTAAGTTTTCAATAACAAATTTTAAAAAATGACGGTTGTTTTCGCAATATGCAAAATTTATTAAATATCTCATGTTAGATTCGGAACAACGAAGAAGTGAACCCGTCTGCTTCACTGAAGGTATTAGAAAAAATATTTATATGTTTTCATTCAAATATTTTTCACCAAACATCAAAACCCAAAACTATCTCCATTCAACACTTGCCTGGCTGGCTGAACAGAGCAACCGCTGCCGACATTCATAAAAAAAAAAGTTATAGAAATATATCAAAATAACAGAAATAGTTTTAAATTATTTTCTCTCCATCTCGCATAACCGGGAAAACAAAAGAAAAGAGAAGGAGAGAAAGATCAAAGTGACCACCTTTAAAGAGGTCAAAGAGCTGGTTAGGGATCGTGAGGAATTGAATGGAAGGAGATAGCTGTACCGACAAGAACTGGCTCTTAAATAGAATGATGAATAGTGACAATACACAGCGTATTGTCATTATACTATTAAGCTATATTTATAAAAATAATCTAAAATGAATTACAAAAATTAAATATTATTATAATCTCTTAACTCAATCGAGGTTCCTTGATTAGTAAAAATAATAACAATATAATTTAAACAGGACCAAATGAAATTAATGTAATTAGTTCCGTGGACCTAAATAATTTCCCTTTTTCCCACAGGCAAGATGCCCAAGATGCAAGCAGCGTTTTCCCTTTGTTTAGCTGTGGGTAAGATCCCAGACGATCTCTTAATTTTCTGAAAATGATTTTGTGAAAAAGGCACTCACAAGCAAGCAAGGCACACAACACCACGGACCAAGTGGTTCGAATTGGAAGGGTAAGAATAAGTAGTCGGATCCGAGGTCCTCGTACATATGGCTTCATATAGTTTTTGTTTTATTTCTCGATATTCTATAGAATCAACCTTTTGTGAGAGTTAAAGTGTTAATGTGTGAAAGTGAAGGTTACCTAATTAAATTTAAGAACAACGAATGTCAGATATTGTTTGAAATTCTTGAATGAATAAATGAATGACACACACAACCGTAACTTAAGTATAAAAATAGTATGTTAATGTGCAAGAGGTCGCCTTATTGCTATGTAACAATATATTCTTTGATAAAAGCCTTTATGTTAATACTCCAAATGAAACTACAAATTCAAAATAGTATTTTATGCAATCGTTGCATGCTGAGGGTTCTTAAAGTTGTCGAGTGGCCTAAGTAATGTTTACGAGATTTTAAAACCTAATTATGTAATGATTGTATAAAATAATGAAACACAAACCAAATTTAATGTATATTTTGTTAGCAATCCATGACAACAAATTCAAACGAAATCCAAAAAAACGTTAGAAAACAAAAAAAACCAAAGAGAAAGAATAGATGTGGCCAAATTTTAAAGAATTTTTAAAGATTTATGCCCGGTTATAAAAATTTAGGCCCTTTTTAACAATCAGTAGCGTCACATTGGATATTTTAATTAGCAAAAATACGACGTTCTGTTTTTGAAACTTATTGTACTTCTGTGTACAGACTATAATTTCTCATTATAGTTCTGTGTACAGACTATAATTTCTCATTATAATTTCTGTGTTCAGACTATAATTTCTCATTATAGTTCTGTGTACAGACTATAATTTCTCATTATAGTTCTGTGTACAGAACTACAATGAAATTTTTTAGTTCAGTAGCGAGTGCCATAAACAATAGAATTTTGATTCAGAACTAAAAAGAGTGTCTTTGTGACATGGTTTATGAAATTATACTTGACAGATAGAATCTAATAAACAAATAGAGTCTAATATTTCGGGAGTTTTTGCGTTTTATATAAAAAATCTGAAAAATCTGCACGCTCATCAATGTTAACTGTGATTTCTTGCTTTCAATGATTTTTTCGCTAAACCGGTGAGATACAGTAAATATTCATGAAAATAATTTCTCCTATATTCATTTCATAAATTTTCTTGTCATAAGCGTAATAGTTTTTAGATACGTCCTCTACGGAAACCGCTGTAAGTGCTACGTCAAATTCATTTCCAGTAAATCCTTCTGCAATACCATTCGTATTGATACTAAAGAGTGTTTTGTCAGATATAAAAATAATTCCATCGTAAACAATCTCTACATGTTTCGCTAGTTTAACGTACGATGGATTTACAGGTAGACCTTCAACTTTTTTAACACCTTCATTCTCTGTTACGACGTAAGGGTCTTTCCCAATTAGAAAGTAAAGATTGTTTAAATTATCAAGCATTATTTGATCTACATTAGTATAGTTTGTTTCAAATTTCATTGTACCATTGTCAACAACTTTAAAGACTTCTTTATCTTTCGTAAGAACGAAAATTGTATCATTCACATTCTCATTGGCAATACCAATTAGTTCTTGATCAAAATTGCCATATTTATCAGCTGTATTCTTTTTGGGGTTATAGATGTATATACCACGTTTAGTTGCAAAAAAAACTTTGTCAGTCATATCATTTGTTGATGTTACATCAGTGCCATCGTCTAATAATTTAGTAACTGTGCCATTTATTGATACATAGAGTCCTTTATAATCTTTCATAACAAAGAAAAAAGTTGATCCTCTGTATTCGTCATTAATCATGTTAACTGGTACTACAATTTTATCAATGTCGTGGCTCCCGGAATAAACAGGATCTTTTTCCCGGGCAGATAGTACTGGAGTAATTAGGAGAGTTATTACAAAAAACCGCATATTTTACCTGAAAAGGAAATTAAAATTTGGGTTAGGAAGGTACATATTTAGTAGGTCATAAGTTCAAATCACAAATTCTTTATAGAAAAGGTGCTGCAAGTACAACTGAGACTTGTGACGCGTCGGGGTGCGACCCGCCACAAACGCCAGCCGATCGCGCGTCAAAATTTCCGCGGACTGATGCCGACGCAAGCAGCACAGGCGATAGCAGGCGGGAGGCGCGTGCGGAGATCAAGACTACAAAAGACCGCCAGCCGGAGGGAGCGACACTCACTGGGGGAGGTTACTACTACGGTAAGAATCTCCTGTTGAGAGCAATTTGTTGTACGTGACCAAGGCGAACTTCAGGCCGTTAATTTTAAATAATAAAGTAGTAGCATCAGCCAACAATACTATCACATGTTCTATTCCCTCTAAGAGGCTAAGTAAATCATTAATATAAACTAAAAACAGAAATGGATCTATAATTGAACCTTGAGGAAAGCCCACGGTAATTGCAAACATGATTCGAATTTTGATCTCGATTCTAATACGAGTTAAGAAGGTAGAGGTCACGTACACATTACATAGGTCCACAGCCCGGGAATGGAATTGGAAATGGAGTATCTTTAATGTGCGACTGAATAGGTATCTTCTGGGCGAGCTCGTTCCATCGTAGACCCTATATTTGATCCATCGTTATGTAGTGATCAAGGGTAAGTCCATTCACAAAAACGACCTGAACCAATTCAGAAAGTTGCTGGTGCTTTTGAAATTACAGGCAAATGGGACTTGTCAACTTATGTCCAGGGGACGGGCGCAGTGGCAGTTCCCCTCAGATCTTTGCGATTTAAAGCTCTGAGTGGCACTGCAACTGTTATGGACAGGCATGTTTACCATCAGGCATACGACTTATTCGTCCCGTCACTTAATATTATAAAAAAAATGATATCCTAAATTAGTCCTACTGAGAATCGAGCCCGGGAGCTCCGCACCATGCACCCATAGTTCCTAACCACTGATTCATCGAAGTCTTCAATACTTTGAGAGACTAATTCTTCCTTAAAAGATTCCTACAGACTTGAAATAATAATACGTAAACTAATTACTTACCGATCCCAACTACCACTGCCTTTCTCGAAGATATTAAATTAAATGACAATAATAAATATGTGTCAACTTATACATTCATAACAATTATTATCTATAAATAGGAGTAAGATTTATTTGTGAGTTTGTTTGTTATTCTCATACGTTATAGTAAACATACAACTTGATATTTTACGTAACCCAGAAAATACAGAAGTATAATATAAAACGTAAGTATTCTCTGGTGACTTTTAACTTTCATTTGAAAATAACTCCATACTGACACAGATTACTTGATAGTTACATCACTCTCATGCAAAATCGAAAATACTTACGTTATAATAGCCTACTAAAGCTGACTAACGACACCAGGTGGTCACTATGAGGAATAAGGAACCTAAGCACGCACTGAGAGAGAGAAATGGCAGTACTTCCCTGGACGTTACGATACGATACAGCAAGACGAACTCTCTCACAAAGAGCTCTACTGCTTCTAAAGTGCGTTAATGAACAATGTTTTCGACAAGAAGAGTCTTTAAAATGCTGTATTTCGCTTATGTCCGGAGCGTGATGGAAAATGCCGCTCCTGTATGGTCTCCGTCTTACGTGACTTCCTCATAGTTGAAGACAATGTTAGAATCCGCACAGCGTTGTTTCACACGATAAATAGATTGAACTACCGCCTTTAAATATAATGGTGGCTACGCTGACAGATCAACTTTTTTCTATTACTACAATTGAATTTATTTTGTTACAGTTTATTTTTGTTTTAATTACCTTTTTAACATAAACTCCAATTAACGCAATTGGCTAAATATTTTTCTTCAATTGTAGAGGTTTTTAAGTCAAAATAAACTTAGAATATAACAGAAACCACAGGAAAAAGTTAGTTAATTATAGGAATGGTCAATAACACAGGTCGTCAGCTTTTACGCAGAAATATTTTATCTCTTCAATTGGTGTCATAAAATCTTAAATGTAGTGGTATATACAGGATGCTAATGTTAAGTGTGGCCATACGACTAAATGTACTGTCATTATTTATTTTATCTACACACATATCATAAATCCTCTATGATGTGTTTCAAAAACCTCAAATTACGACCAGCATAAACTGTTTTGTTAAAACAAATTTCTTATCTGTGAAAATGTTATTACTATTGCTTACTTACTTCGTCACAGGGATGAGGTAGAGTCTATCGATTTTTGCTTTAATTGATTTTTGATAGATAGATAGATAAATGGATAAACACTTTATTCACTAGTATGACACAAATGCATAATGAATACAACGGGAAAGATAAAAAAATTTTGTCATAGCAGTAAAATGGCGCTGACTCATCATATGCTAAGGCGCTGGTTTTCAGTCAAAACCAAAGAGAGATACTAATCCTAGAAGTTATATGTAATTCATTACAGATACAGATCTAATAAACGATTTTTTTGAAAAAGAAAGAAATCAAATACATTTATTTGTTTACCACAATGACACCACAAAAGACAAAAGACATAAAAAGAGTAAATGGAACAAAACAGAACTAAAACAAAACACGATCAAAACATTCAACTTAAAACATAAATAAATAATTACGAAACAAAAATATAAACAAACACAAAACAAAAATGTATATACAAAAATTAGATAAAATTAAAATAGGAACTATTCACACAAATAATAAAAATAACGAATAAAAAGAAGTAAATATTGAGATACTTCCCTTTTCTTGAGATATTTCCCTCCTGGAAATTGTGCATTAAAATAATAAATGTAATAAAGTGTGAATAGTGCATCTAAGGTAACCTATTCGATATGTAAGTGCAATAATAACTGTGAACATGTTTTGATGTAATAAATCAAAGTAAAAAATGTTTATTTAGAAAGGCTACGAAGAAGAGTATATGGGGATATGAAAACTAATATTAATATTAAAACTTCAACAAATTAGACAGATTTTTGTAACGAGAGTAGGTGTTGCCGGTAGAGTGCTTTGAATTTATGTTTGGATGACTCGTCACGTATAGGTGGCGGAATATTATTCTAGCATTTTGATGCCGAATATTTGTAACTACCCCTAAGTACCCATAAATACACATGACCGGGCAGATTTCTCCCTGCAGCGTACCTTGACGTTGGATGACGACGTCAGTTTGTCACACAGGTATTTAGGAGTCCTAGTTTTGGCTATATCAAATAACAGCTCAGCATGCAGGAGATTCTGACGAGCTCCAATCTTCAATATATTTGCATCGTTGAGATAATGAATAACGTGAGTACGTGGAAGTATGGAAAAACAAAATCTAGCACACGCGTTTTGGACACGCTGTAGTAGTTTATGTGACTTAGACAAAAGACAGGGGCCACACGACGTGATACAATAGTTTATTTTTGATAATATCTGTGTTTCACATAAACAAATGCGCAGATCGATGTTGAGAAAAGATCGAATACTGTAGATTATCCAAACCCTATAGAAACAGCTGGGTACAAGTTTGGCCACATTACTCTCAAATTTAAGAATCCATCCATCATCAGAAAAACCCATGATTACACCCAAATTACGGGCCTCCGCTACCTCCTAAGAACTACTACTACTACCTAAGAACAGTTAAAAACATCAGGACTGAAAGTAGAAGATGCTACTAAAAAGCGGCCAAAGGTTATAGTCCTAGGCGTTCCCTCCACCATCTCAGATAAAGACTTATTGGAGTGTTTATACGAACAAAATATAAGTGATAAGCACCCCAGCCTCACCAGAAACACTTTAGAAAGCTCTATAAAACTTAGCCATAAATCAGGCAGAAAGAACGAGCCCACCTGTAACTATATTTTTGAAGTCACAGCTCCCATACGGAGGACACTAATAGAACAGCAGCGTGTCTTTATTAATTGGACCTCCTGCCCGGTAAGAGACTACACAATAGTAACTAGGTGCTATAAATGCCAGCAGTACGGACACTCCGCAAAGTTCTGCCGGGATACTGAGTCCACGTGCGGCCACTGCGGTTGCACAGGTCACTCGATCAAGGAGTGTTCTAAGCATACGGAGCCCGCGAAGTGCGCCACCTGTATACGCTTCAATAAACCCGCCAACCACGAAACAGGAGACGAGCAGTGTCCAGCTAGGAAAAGCGCAGTAACCAGGTACATAGGTACTATTGATTATGAGGGCGCCTAGAGCGCCGCCCTCCTATCCTAATACAGCTTTATATGGGCACTAATGTTAATGATTTAGCACAGGACATTGATGCGACGTGTGAATTTCAATCCATATCATGCGACCCAGATAAGTGCCCCACGTTTATTTCTAAGTCTGCTTATAATTTAAAAATAGTTTTACAGAATATTAGAAGCATTAGATGTAATTTTGACGGTCTTTTAACGTTGTTAAATCCAACTAATTTTGAACCTGACATCTTTGTTTTAACAGAGTGTTGGTTACTCAATACACCATCGACTCCTCATCTGGACGGTTATAATTCATATTTCAGTAACAAAAGCAATGTTTTACAAAACGACGGCGTAGCGCTCTACATAAAAAATGACCTTCCAAACGTCATAGTTGAGGAGCCTATAATTCTGGACGCTAACTGTTTGATCGGAAAAATTGGGAATGATATTGCTGTTGTAGCGATTTACCGCTCTCCCTCGTACAAAAACATAAGAAATTTTTTACTCTCTCTATGTGACATTTTGACAACACTTTCCTCATTCCGAAATGTATTCATTCTTGGCGACTTAAATATTGATATTAAGATAGACAATGAAGATAGCAACTCAGCGGAATTCTTGAACCAAACAGCTTCCCTTGGTTACCTCCCTACCCATCTTCATCCAACGAGAGATCGTAACTGCATAGATCATATCTTAGCCAAAACCATTCTTGACGTAAAAACAATAATTTTAAAAACTACTGTAACTGATCACTATACTTTACTACTCTGCCTACAAAAGAGCTTCAATAGACATAATTTTATCAGTACACATACAGTACTAAATAATGAAGGTGTGTCTCGCGACCTTGCAAGTTTAGATGTGTCCCCAATTTACAACTCTGCCGATGCAAACGTAGCAATGGAATATTTGGTCCGTTCGCTAACTAAAATCATTGAAATTAATACGACGACCAAAATATTTACGCGACGCAATAAAATAATTAAACCTTGGATTACCCCAGGCTTGCTGCGCTGCATTAGAAATCGAGATAAACTTCACAAAAAA